ATGACAAGCCTTCCTGGCCTTTTGCCTTATCCCTCTTTATGGACTTTCACTCAAATGGCCTATAAGCCTAGGGAAATCATATCAATGCCCATTCCTTGAAGATCAAGTTTCCACTTTCTATCTATTGTATGGAGATCATTAAGGGAACACATGATCACCTCAAAGACCCCTTTCACATCACACATTTCTTAGCCCTGGAATCTTAGAAATTTTCTTCACCCTTATTCTATAGAATGTATTACTGTCCCCTTCCCTCAGTAATTTCACCTGAAACTTCTGTCTCCGTGATATCTCTTCATGCCTCATAACAGCCTCATATTGTTTTCTGAACAACAACAATTTTCATCTTGGCCTTTGTCGATAGGTGACTGCTTTTCCATCTTTATCAATTACATTTGACTCCTCAGGGATATTGGACCTCCTAACATCAAGGATCCGGTCAGTGCTTTTGTTTCATTCTTTAATGTTACTGTGAAGCTTCTTCCTACTAATTGTGGGAGGTACCATCATAGACCAGTCACTCTGGCGGGCAGGCCCTGAAAAATTCTCCCATTACTCATATCTGCTCAACTTATAGAAGTTGCAGCGATGTCCTCTACATTACCTTTCTGCCACTGTTCTGATTAGTTTGCATGTACAACACCAGAGTAGTACTGAGCTTTTTAAAGTTTATCATTTCAAAGGCAGGACGCTTGGCCCTTTCCAAAACACATTTTTATAATTCCCTTTGTACCTCACCTGATTAACACCTTGATGTCTGTCACCAAGACCTTCTTCTCCTGGGGTACCATGTAATTCACACTCACTATTTAGTGCTTCCTGGATTCCCAATTTCATATGCACTGGTTCACTTTCCGCCTCAGCAGCTTCTGCATAGTTTTTTCTTCTTTCTTTCCTCCTCGCCCATTTTTCTGGTGGCAAAGAATCTTCTAGGGACTGGGGACATACCGTGCTTCTCACTATGTAGTGGTTAGTAGTGACGTTTCAAATCTCCATATCATCCAACAACAGATCCTTAACAGTTCTTGCCTCTCGCTGTTTTTCCACCCTTGAGATGCTTCTACCCATGAATGCATCCTTAAGCTAAACAGTGCTTTTGGGGATAGAATGGTTACTGGAGAACAACCAGAACACCAGTAGACCTTTGCTTAACACCGCGTCCGTGTTGGTTGGAGGGCATCTTATCCCCTTGTTGAGCATGGCAAGACTAAGTGTCGAGGAAGCTATGCAGAACGGAGTCTTCAGCTATGGACCAATAGGTGGCAGGCTCTTAGAGTGTATAGATGTTTCGGGTTGAAGAGTCTGCCTTAAATATTAGGGTGAGGTTTGCGTAAGGTGTCAACCTTATACTATTGAAGTAAGGTGCACCTCAAGACTATGCTAAAAGATGCAATTTCAATGCTGGAAAGCCTTGTGATGGCATAGAAATCATTTGTCACCCCTAATTATGAAATTTAAAGATCCAAATATGATGCAAATCAAACAGATCTATAAATAATTAAAAGTTTTGAAAATAGACGGTCTATATAATGTGTTACAAGATGTACTATTTTCATGACTTAATTTTTCATTTATTTTTTCATATTCATACATCTCGAGGCTGCGATGATCAATTTTAGGGTTTTTTAGTATCGGAACAACTTATACTTATGCACTTTTGATGTGCACCTTACTTCTAGAGTATAAGGTTGACACCTAATATAGACTTTTTCCTAAATATTATGATGCTTTGGCCAGTAGACAATCGACATATGCTATGTCAATCAGTGACTCCATCGGAGCTGCCAAAAAGCTCCGCTGCTCTTAACGTCTCACTTAACGTCTTCTATCTTCCAGTTCTACACATTGGTAATGAAACTGTTTTTAAAGTTTATGAGTGTCTCCCTAGGAAGCTAGTGTTGGTAATCTACCTCATGAAAGTTTTTCAATATTCAAGATTTTTGCTCTTCATTGAGATTCCATTGATTGTGACCCCCCCTCCCCCCCCACATGGAGTTTCCATGTAGCCTCAATGATTTCCTTTTTCCTAACATGCATTAACACTTCGTAACCTAAAATGTTTTATCATTTGAAGTCCCAAAGGGTAGAATTCCCTTTATAGACACAAAGGTCCGGTTTGCCTACATGTTTATGGACACTCAGTAGGCTGTGCCATTGCTTCTGTAAAGCCATTGGGGCATCCATCTGGTTCCTCCATCACTCCAGGTTCAGACGTAAATCGCTCATGTTGTGGGATTGAAACAGGAGGACCCTGTTTGCTTCCATGAAGGAATGATGCTCGAACAGCACCAGTGCACCTTGAAAGTTATTTAGTTCTGCTGGGAAAACGGTTTACCATAAGTGACCGTTCTACTGCTACCCACAGTTTAGTATTTGCCTGGATTCATAGCAAGTATCTAAGAAGTTCCTGCATATGTATATAATCTATATTTTCAGTACCCATTTTGTGATCTAGGCCCCCATTGTGATCTCAGCACTACATTACTCTTCCTTATTGCAAGCTTGGTCCTGTAGTAGTTGCAACCTTTCCATATGACCTCATTTCCTCTTGGGACTTGACACTCTTGCCAACAACAATCGGGCTAGCAGGGAAGACACTGTATTAGGGCCGAAATATGTTAATAATGTGGATTGTCTTTTTAAGTTTTCTCCAATCACTTTGTGCCTCTTCTGCTGCTAAGTTACCTTGACAAGGCTCTCTACAGCTACAAATTTTATGAAACTTCCAGTGAGATTTTGAGCTTCAACCAATATATTCATGGGCCTTTGTCCATACCAAATAAGCCCTGTTGATGTTGATGATCTCCAAAAAATATCTCAAATAACTCTGCCAGATATATGTTCCCAGAGAACTATGTTATATTATTGATGCTAAGCCTAGAAGAACCTCATGTGCCCTTATGCTCTTGTGAGGCAGGAAGCCTTAGTGAAACTCGGCTAGGAGTTTGTAAGTGAGCCTCTTACATTGTCCATATCTTTCCCAGGGGACAGTTTCTTGTCTGAGGTTCTCGGTCAAGGTCATCCATGAGTGGATATTGAAATTTTTGGCACGGCTGGAATTTTTAAATATCATCACAAAAGAAAATAAATTTCCTAAAGAATTGGTGATACCATCTGTAGTTTTTAGAAGATAATAATTATCTTTAAAATCTCACAATATCTTGAAAATCATGGGACATATGTATGAATTATTGGAATCTCGTGAATCATGATACTGTTTTCCAGATATTTTAGATATATTGCAAGATTTCCCGAGTTTATGAATGTGTGAATTTTTCTTTTGTTAGGATTAAAATTTTATCCCTTATATCACTCATTCCAATACTTTCCCTTGAAAAAATAGTAGGGCAAGATTTGGAATAACATCATAGTAGCTGTTAAATGGTAATGGGCTTTAGTGTTACATTGAAATAACACCATTATTTAAAATGTATTCTCTATCTAGTTTTTAAAATATTATAACAGAATTGTAACATCATTGCTAGTGTAAGTTGTTTTCTGCACCTTGTTTTTTGAACCTTTTCATTTTTTTCTTTAATATTTACAGCTGGAGTCCTGGTAGTGAAATATTGGTTAAATTATTTCTGTGGAAAACTGTGTTTTGCTGTTCTCACCAATTGCATTTCCTGATGAGTAGTTTGATTGCGACAGTTGACTCATTTGAGCTAGGCACCTTAAACTGATCTTATTATCAATATCATGTTATGGAAATTCGATTAATAGTTTTGGCAATGGCTGGATACTGAAGTTTCAGCCAAAAGAAATTATATTTATATATAGTAATAATGGTAATAGATTTATGTTGTAAATGCCTATTGCAAATGATCGGAATCGAACAAAAGGATGGCCAAATTTTGAACAATTTATTTTCTGAACAAGAAAGAAATTTTTTGAATCTTTGCGAGTTTTGTGAACTGAACGCTTCCAAACTAAAGACAACTCAATTTTAGTGTTTGTGACTTTGTTTACCAATTTATTTCAGTCATGCCAAAATTGATGACACTGTCAGGCACAACAGGTTTATGAGGGTGCTTTAAGAAAATGTTTAAAATTTTGGGGACATTATTTCTTATGTTTTATGGCTTAATTTTATTTTCTGTACTGATTGTTTTTGTTTTCCCTTTTCCGTTTTCCTTCCTTTTCTTTGGGGGAAAAAATTACCTGTCTTTTTTATGCCTGTGCTGTGCTTTATGTAATTGGTCCATTTCTGCAGATAACACTCTTAACTGTCTTTAAATAACAGCTTCCCTTACCAATTGGTAATTCCTATGATAGTCTCCCCTGACGTAAATGTGCTCATGTCGCAGATCCATTAATTGATTTGCCAGTTGACACTATTATGTTATCCAAAGTCAACCACATCCCTTTTCTGATTCCTTATCTTCACATTGCTATGTCAATCTCGACTTTTGTAATGACTTTTTCGGCTTTGTGCTTAATTTGTTGGTGTAAATTAGATAACTATTGAGTCTCCATAAGTTCCTTATTTGTGCCATAACAAGTGCAAATATTGCGTAGCTTATATTAATTCCATGTTATTTTAGTCATTGGTTTTATTATTCATCTCTGTAGTGCCTGGTTTTTGTCAATCTTCTTTTCTTTCATAGCTGCTATTTCAATAAAAAAAACACATATACGAGGCTAATTAGAAATAACTCAGCTTGGAACTCCTTGCGGACTCAAACTGTTGGAAGGAAATCTACCTATACCAGAAATGCCCAAGCTTATCGCTATCTGATTCATGTCATAATGTTTATGAATGTTGACCCTTACCACTTGTTTACAATTTGTTGCAAGTACTGCTATATCTCCCCTCCCTAGATTTCTTCTTCTCTTTTCCCCTCTTTGCTGGTTTGTTCCTCTCTCTCTCTCTCTCTCTCGACTCCATATGAAATTCCATAGTTTCTGGTCTGGAGTGACTTAATTCACTTAAATTGATTTTATTGAGCCCCAAAAGAGTTCAACTCAATAATTGGTTTTTGTTTTTCTCTTTCTTGAAGGCTGACCATGGGGGAATAATAATCGAAGTCCTTGTGGACGATGGCAAATCTGTCAGCGTGGACACTGTAAGTCTTGGATGTTGATCGTTTAGCATGATTTTTTATAGGAAAAGTATACAATGAGGTCATTTATTTTTGCTACAAGGTGGTCACAATTAATCTTGACAATTGGATGTGAAATTGGATGGATGCATTTATTCCATCAACCATACTCAAATTTCAAAAGAAACTTTCTCAAACTTTGTGACACACCCAAGCTATTAGATTTCACATCGGATAGTTGTAAATAATTGTGACCTCTTTGTTTCAGAAGTAAATGGTCTCATTGTATACAATCCCTTTTGTACAAAAGCCCATTTGAATATATATGGACGTGCTCCATTAGTATGACTCGCGCATGCATACCTACTCTTGTGTGTGCCATCAAGCTAGTCTTACCTCCACACTCCATTTTGGAGTGGTTGCATGTCGACACATATCGACACACACAGACACGGCCTTGACATGGTGATTGTATGTGTTAGTTTATTATAGGGATGTTTAGTACGTGTTGATGAGTTTTATAAAATTGCCGTCACTCTTGTTAAAAAATAAAGCTGCATGTCTATGCGGTATACAAAGCAGGATGTTTTAAAAGGACGTAATATGTTTTAAAATTTCTATTTTTCATAAGATGCCTCTGCCTGGTATTGGAACCTTGGACGCGTTGCACTTTCAAAGGGCAGTACGTGCTACCAACATGCCAACCAAGCATATGTGTACATAAATCATTGCTTATATAATATAATATAACATTGCGCCTCAATAAAGGAGTGCCTAAAATAAATGTTATACTGCATAAATATAGTTATGGAGAAATAAGTACTTTTTAATATCTTTTTTGCAT